GAAAAATAATGCGCTCAATTTTTGTTATTCTACTTTCATTGAACATCTCTATTACTATGAATTTTATAAATCAATACTGTTTTCTAAGAGAAAAATTAAAAAACAAATCCAGATAAAGTGTTGGTTTGTGTAAAAATTGATTATACTTTACAATAAAATACTTAAGGACGTATATTGTATTTATTTTTTGTAAATTTAATTTCCGTTGATTTTATGAGAATTGTAAATACAATTTTTAAATTGTACTTCACTTATTATGAATCAGATTTGCCAAGCCAAAATATTAAAAAATAGTATTTTTTACCGATGACTAGATTTATTACTAACAAATTGTCCACCAGCGCTCACACTATCCTTGCATTCATATACAAGTGTGGTTTTACGTGAAGATATTCGAACACTTCTAACTACAAATCGTTTTCTTCAAAATCTATTATTGACATTTCTAAATTTGGATCGAAGGAATTGTTGCTACAACAATAAAGATTTGTTTTGCTTTTTGGAAAAACAAATTCCGTGAAATGCAATTTATTTAAATTTACGCCAAAGTATGATAATTATTAGTAATGCTAAAATAGGAAAAGTTGCTATTGTTTTAGGCTTTAAATTTGATGATACCTAGTTTGATAGAAAACTTTTAATTATAAGATTTTTGATAAAGCCTATTATTAAATTATTTTCATTAAGTTGTCGTCATCCTAGATCCAAAAGCATTAACATTAACATTTAACAGGTTATCTTCAAGTTGTCATCATCTTCAGAAATTCTACTCCAAAAACACAGTATTATACTTTTTGGTATAATTCATTTTTATCAAAAATTTTGTACTTGAGATCTGCACAAATTTGACATCAACTGGGTCTTGGTTGTCAATTTTAATTATCGAAATAAAATCTTTATAATTGCTCATCATGATACTGTATAAGACCACAATGTTTATTTGGGAATACATAAAGCCATTTTATCTTTCCAATCCTGAGTCTGAATTAGGTACCATCACCTATAAATTGGCAAAGTAATGAAATTACACCACTAGCAGATTTTCTGGCAAAAACCAAACAACTCCTTCGGAAACAATAATGAAATATTGCTAATGCCACCAAAAAGTGTTGATGGTCCTCCATCAACTCGTCAATTCCTCCTGATTTCTTGGGATCAAAATTGGTACAGACGATTATTACAAGTACTATCCAAGAGCAAAATGCTTAATTGGGATATAACCTTTTAACTTTTCGAAAGTTAGTAAATCAATTAAACAATAAAATATTCCTAATGCCATCTAAAAGTGTACATGGTCCTCCATAAATTCGTCAAATCCTCCTGATTTCTTGGAATCAAAATTGGTGAAGACAAGTATTGCCTACATGTACTGTCTAATTGGGATATAACCTTTTATCTATCCAATCCTGAGCCTGAATTAGATACCATCATCATTAAAATTGGCAAAGATATCCCTGATACATCCTAAATTATACATGATACCCCATTAGCCTTTAATTAGTGTATTAGCAAAGCAGATTTTCTAACAAAAACCTAAAAACTCCTTCGAAAACAATAATAAAATATTCCTAATGCCACCAAAAAGTGTATATAGTCCTCCATCAACTCGGCAATTCCTCCTGATTTCTTAGAATCAAAATGTATAAAGACAAGTATTACAAGTACTGTCCAGAACAAAATGCTTAATTGGGATATAACCTTTTATCTATCCAATCCTGAGTTTGAATTAGATACCATCATCATTAAAATTGGCAAAGATAGTGAAATACACCACTAGTTTGTAATTAGTGTATTGGCAAAGCAGATTTTCTGGCAAAAACCTAAACAACTCCTTCGGAAACAATAATAAAATATTCCTAATGCCACCAAAAAGTGTATATGGTCCTTCATCAACTCTTCAATTCCTCCTGATTTCTTGGAATCAAAATTGGTAAAGACAATTATTACAAGTATTGTTCAAGAGCAAAATGCTCAATTCTCTCCTCAAATGGGATATGACCCTTTACGTTTCCAATCCTGAGTCTGAATTAGATACCATCATCATTAAAATTGGCAAAGATAATGAAATACACCACTATTGTATTAGGAAACCGAATTTTCTGGCAAAATCATCAGGAAGTAGGTAAATCAATTAAACAGTTTGGTATAATAAAAAATGCTTCCTTATTACTCAGTTTATTTTAAATGTTACTTGTTTCACGGTTCAGCAAGAAGAGAGTTATTTTACATAGTTTTAGCAAAAATATAAATATAAGATGGCGGAACATAGGTATAGTAGGGGAACACTATTGCCAACATCACTAATAGTGATGGCGGGACATTTGAATTACAAATATATATAACATTACATTTGACATTATATAAGAAAAAATGTGACAAACAATTTTGTCCACAGTTAAATATTCCTGATGCCACTCAAAAGTGTATATAATCCTTTACCTCGTCAATCCCTCCTGATCTCTCAGTATCAAAATTGGTAAAGACAATTACCACATTCTCCACTATCTAGTAATTGGTTTCAAAATTCCTGCTAATTATATAATTACTCTGTATAATTTTAATTGTGATTTTCTAATTTATCCGGCATGTGCCTTTTTTCTCCTTCTCTCTGGGGTTAATGAATCTTAACAACGACGCATATGGATCATCATCATCATCAGAGAGTAGGAGATATCAACATCAACATCAACATCAACATGTGCGTTCGTTCCTTCGTCCATTTCCGAAGCAAAATATACATCAAAGGGAATTTGTATACGATAGAAAAACACACACGAATAGAAATACATACATGCATAATATACATAGATATGTGTGTGTGTGTGTGTTATTTATATATGTGGTGTATATCACATTCGACAGTTCATATACAAATACTCGTCTAGATTTTAGAAGGTGCAAAAATACATTCTTAGAGGAAATTTCTTGACCGTAAATGTTTCAATTTTAGTACTTTTCAGAAAAGCTTTAAGGATTATATTTAAAACTATATCTATATGTAAGCAAAGACAGTGCCAATTTCCATGTTTTACCTTTGTAGATGTTTACCTTTTTATTTTATTTTTGCAAAATTTGAGTTATTCTTGAAAAACTATGCTTATTAAAATAATAGACCAAAAGCGACAACACTAACTGAAACTAAAGTTAATTTAGAAGAAAATTATCGAGAGTTATAATCATATAACGGAAAACGACTTTGATGAATAAAGGAGTTCAAAAAAAAAAAATATAAATCACTAATTTTGATTACATCAATAGTTCGAGTTTTTTATTGATTATATTTTAAATAGCTTTTGTCCATGTATAGTTTTTTTCATTAAAATAATAATTTAAGTATTTAAGTTACTCTAGAGAAATGATTGCTAATCCCAAATACAATTTTAAATATGTATAAAGCAAAATAGTATTGAAAAAAAAGTAATTATAATTATTTATTGATTACAATTTTGATAGCTTGAATAAATAAAATTAAAATTGAATAAAAAAATATTAACAAAGAATTTACATTAATATTTGTTGTCAGAACCAAAAACTACTTTCTAGTTTCCAAATTTAATTAAAAAATTAAAATGGAGCAAAATAACAAATTGAAAACCCAAATTTAAAATTGAAACAGTTGTAAAAAACGAACTAAACCCTAATCCCATATTTTACTAAAATTTAAGTAAATAAAAATTGTATTATTGTTTATTAATATTTTATTATTTATTAAATATTTTTTTCAAATATTTTTTTGCTTAAGAAATGTGTATAATGTATAAGTAATATGATGTAAATCATTCAAAAAGCAAATTTTAAAACTGAAATGAATTCAAATCATATTAAAAAATCAAAACCGGTGAAAGTAATAATATTTTAATAATTATTTTTTGAAAAGAAAACATAATATTTAAATAATGTACTGAATATTGATTTCTTATTCCAAAAGTAATTCCAAAATCGAAATAGAATAAACTAATAATAAGAAAATAAAAATTAGTAGTTAAAAGAATTTATAGTCATTTTTAGGACAGAAATGAAACTTGAGCAAAAAACCTCTTTTCAATCCCAAATTTAATTCGAAAGTTGGAACAATATTTTATTCTTTTAAAAAATAGTGCTCTCTAATTCCTAAATCTAATTAACTAGTAAATTAGGAGATTTAATTATTTACTTTAAAAATACTATCTAATTCTAAAGTTGGAACCATATTCACTTTAAAAAAATGCTGGTTTCTAGTACCCAAATCTAACCCTTAAGTTGGAACCATATTTTAATTAAAAAAAAAAATGTTTTCTGATTTCTAAAGCTAATTTTAAAGGTTAACATTTTAAAATTCCGAAAAAAGAATTTCAACTTCAAAATCTAATGTATTTGAAAAAAGCTTTCTAATCCGATGGAACAATATTTATTTTTAAAAAATACTGCTTTCTAGTACCCAAATCTAACCCTTAAGTTGAAACCATATTTTAATATAAAAAAAAAACTGCTTTCTGATTCCCAAACCTAATTCTAAAGTTAGAACATTTTAAATTTATGAAAAATAAAGGGATTTTAACTCCAAAATTTAATTCTAGAATTCTACTCGAAAATTTTTTCATTTATTTAAAAAAATGTATTTGAAAACCTAATTCTTAAGTTAGAACATTATAAATTTGTGAAAAAAGGTTTTTAATTTCAAAATCTAATTCTTTAATTCATTTAAAAAAGCTTTCCAATTCCATAATCTAGATCTTAAGTTTAAACAATAATTTAATTTAAAAGTAAAACTGCATTCAAATTTACAAATCTAATTAGTTAGTTGAAACAATAATTTATTAATTCAAAAAAGTGCTTTCTAGGTTTATAAACCTAATTTTAATGTCGCAATAAAATTTTATACTTATTAAAACAAAACCCAATTGTCTAATTCCTAAACCATTTTTTTGGTTAAAACCATCAATTATAATTTATGTATAACATAAATTAAGATTAACAGTTTTTACTAATTAATACTTTTTTTATTATTTTTTTCCACTCACCCTCTGTCCATATTCGCCCTGCACACCATATTCACCAAGGGCTCCTTTTTCACCTCGGGGACCCGGAGGCCCATCCGGACCTGTGTCTCCGGGTATTCCTTCGGCTCCCCGAAGACCGGCGATTCCGGGGTGACCAGGACGGCCCTTCAGGCCTGCACAGTCGCATTTTTTATCAGAACAAACCTAGAAAAAAATAGAAATATAATAATAGAATGATAGAAGATATTTATGAAAGATTTGGGCTATAGGTAAGATAATAATGACATCATTTTTTAGTTCAAGTTTGTATTTTATGTTCACAACTTTTGAAAGGCATTTTTCATTTTTTGTAAATTTTCTATTCATTATCGTAATAAATAATTACTAATATAAATATTTAAGAGATTTAGTCTATTGGCAGGTTTTTAAGATAAAAATTAAATAAAGTCATTTAAGTCACGATACATGTTGCTGTATTCAAGTACTCAAAATATTTATATATTTTCAAGTGCATTTTTGGAGTACACCGAGTTGCTGTAGAGGTTAATGATCATAGACAATGTTATAAATAATTTAATTTCATATAAATTGTCAGATGAACTATTTTAAATTTACAGAAGATATAATAAAAAAATTTATACCAGCTGAAGTCTATAAGCAGATTGAATTTTATAAATAAAAATAAACAGTTTTTTTTATTCTCTTTATTGAATTACAATCTGTCTTTACAAAAAGGAAGACATTCAGTAATTTTGATGATTTATAAAATATTAAACATTAGATCTAAAAGGTTACCCAGTAGTAAGCCTTTTCAATTTTGATATATTAAATTTAAATTTTGTGATTATATAGAGTAAACTTAAAAATAAAATGATCTATGAATAAACAGTTTTAATTGTGTTATTTTGTTACAAACTACAGTTCAAGTGCATTTAACAAGTTTCCAATTGTAGATATTTAGAATATAATTAATTATAATAATAAAATCGTCGTGGGTCGCCATTACATCATTATTATGTACAAACAAATAATAATATAAATATTAAATTAATTATAACACTGATGATGAAAAGATCTTTGCTTCGAAACGATTGTATCTAAGCCACCATTATTTTTATAAAATTGTGCAAAATTATTATTATCGTTAATTATTTAATTACATATATTATTTGCGGAAGTTTAACATTGTCCAAGTCAAGGAAAAGATCAAGATCAGAACAGATCAAAATGGTGAAGGATAAGGATATAATTAAAAATTATTTAACAAAAATTGATAATGATAATATTTACATATTTAATTACTGATATTTACTTATTTAAGTGCGTAGTAAAATCTATAAGCCATTTTATGGTTATGTACCAAATAACACATACAAGGCTTTGGATTTACAATGTCAATTAAAGGCAATTATTTGTTTATTCAATTAAATTTAGTTTTATATTTAAAAAAATCTATACTATGTAGTATACTTGAATATTTATAATCAATTATTTTTTGTTACAAAATACATTATACAAACTATTTTTTATTAATTTTGTTAAAAAGTTCATCTTTGTTAAATATGATGGCACTTTTTAAACAAAGCTTCATTTTAGTAAAATTTTTTTTTATTAAAATTATTGATTTATTGGATTATATAGCCAAATTTATTATTTTTATTGAATTAGTAAAAAACACAAATATTGATTTTACCCAATTTAATAACATTTAAACATATTATATGTCTCAGGTACTTTTTTTTAAAAAAAAACACGTATATAAATAAAAAATAAAATTTAGATGACATTTTTAGTAGCTTGATTAGTTTATAAAAGTATATTAATTTTTCTGTTATGATTTATATATATATATATATATATATATATATATATATTTAATTTATATGTCTGGATTTCCTAGGAGTTGACCTTGCTCTGAATTCCAAAAGGATGCACAATATTTTTTTTTTCATTTTTTATTTTGCATAATTTGTGGTTTGCCAAAAACAGGTTCCAAGAACTATATTTCACTACTAGTCAAAAAGATTCATACAATAAAATAATAACCTTTAGAAAATTCTTTGTGTTATATTTTGAGTATTAGAAATTTAATATAAAAGAGTTGCAGCTCACTTATAGTCAGAGAACAAAATATTTTTATTAATAAATAATAATAGATAAAATTTAAATTTTATTTTTTTTGCTTTCTTGTTAAAAAAAAACACATGTTTTTCCAGATTTCGAATAGATTTTTTTTCTTTTGTTATAATTTATTTTTGTTAATCAAGACTTTAATGTCTTATTTACAAAATTGGTATGAGCAAAAAAAATACAAAAATACAAAAAAATGCAATAAATTGAATAAACAATGAAAAAAGTTAAAAAAAATAAAATAAAAACAGTAATACAAAAATAGTAACATAAATGAAATTTCGAAAAGATGAGTTGAAATTTGTCTCAGGTGAGCAGAATCTAAGTAAAATTAAAATAACCGAAATTAACGAAAAAACTCTATATAAACAGCAAAAATCCTACTAGTGAAAACATTAATAACATTAATTTATATATATATATATATATATATATATATATCCTTAAAAATTCACAATCTCTAGTTTGATAAATAAATTTGCAACATTGAACAATCGATAATAAAATTCTGACCCAATTTTCTAATCGAGTTACATATATAAACGTACATACAATTCAAAAACTACATAAATTCTATTTTACTACTACTATTATTAATAATTTTATTGATATTTATTTATTACTAAAATGCCAAAATTTACTATTTCACGAGTTTGACTCACTTGTTATTATTATTTTTTGTCATTTATCACTTTTGACCTAAAGATGTTATCGAAACTTTGAGGTCCAAAAAAATTAGGACATCTCAAAAAAAAAAAACGGATTTGAAGTTACATAATTCGAATTTTATTTGTTTGTTTTTAGTTTTTACTGAAAACATTTAATTAGAACAAATTTAATTATCAATTATATAGAACACATTAAAAAAAAGCATTAAAGTTCATATTTTATTACAGGCTTTATCTAACTGTATCAGCAACCCAATTTTTGGTTTGATAAAAAAAGAATGAGAATTTAATATTTCTAAAGACATTCAGTGTAACAATATTTTTTAATAATCCATAAATTGTTCTGTGCTGCCTTCAATTTTCTGAGATTTAGTTTAGTTTAACGATCAGCAAAGCCTTTTCTTTATAAATAGTAGATAAAATCTTTCATCAACTTCTTCACAAAAAATCTTGAACCGATTACAGATATTTTTAAAGACAAAACAAATGCATACTAGGTGCAAGTGGAAATTTGCAAAGACATGTTACATGAACTTGCATTTTAAAGAAAGGGCTCGGCAGATCGTCTCAAAAAAATTGAATCTTGAGATTCATCGAATTCACACTCGTATTTTCGTCAAAAGTGACCTCATTCGATTCAGAATGACTCGACAAAAAATTAGCAAGTCGGATTTTCTGCTGAAAAGTTGTACTATGGAAATATATTACGAAACCCATGAAAGTTTTACTCCTTGAAAATTAATATCCATAAATGTTACATGAAATAGCACGTGCCCATAAAATTGATAAACCCCAATCCCTCGGCCTATTGACAAGTCACTTTATCTGTTAATATATTAAAATATATTTTATAATTATTTTATCATTCGATTGACTGACTCTGTGTGACCTTTTTATCTACAAATTGGCGGCAAATTCAAATACTTGAACTTTTTTTCTTGTTCTTGGTCATTTCTATTTTAGAATGTTAACCTCAATAAATTAATATTTTACTTGATATGTTTACTATTCGCAGAAATTATCAATGGATAGTGAAAAAACGCGATTCTGAGGTCACAAAATGATCATTTGTAAATCATTTATCGCAATAATTAATAATATATATATATATATATATATATATATATATATATACAACTTCACTGCTGCGCACGCATATGGTGCGTGCCGTTGTCAATATCCAAGCGACGAACGTAACAGGTGCGTTCGCGATCCATGCACTTTAAAGAAGTGTTTTTAGTGAAATAAAATGTTTGAATTGAAATTTTGTACTGTAATTATTCCAAACAGAAATAGTGCTATTTATCCTACTTCTGTACAATTTTTTTCTTGATTTACAACTAAAATGTTCAGATATGTTTTTATTTTATATTAAATGAATAAAAAATTTACCACGGGAGAAATATAAGCAATACGACGGTAGTAATAAATGTGTTTAGAAGACGTTTTACTGATAGTTCTATAAAACTAACCAAGTCTTTATCTAGTGTCATCGAATGGCTTTTAAATTTTTGAAATCGGTTCAGCAGTTTTGGAGAAAACGTCAAAAATCGAATCACATCCACACACACATACATTATTTAAATTTGGGGTCAAACGATTCACAATGACTTTAAACATCGAGAAATCGACGGATTTTCAGGTAAAACATGAACTTATCCTTAGGTAAATTAAATAAAAAATAAGCGAAAAAAGTATGTGGAAAATTTCCAAGACTAGAATAAAAAGTAGAGTGTGCAAAATCAATATGAAAACAATTTTTATAAAAAAAATGGATATAAAATTTGGTATGCAAGATTCAAACCGCGTTATATAGAGGAGCAACTATTTCGATTCGAAGGGACAATCACAACTCCAGTCATCACCATCATTGATAAATACAACGTAGTAAAGAATAGTTTTTCGTCATGATCGGCCAAGCCATTTTTTTAATAAATATAGTTTATTTGGGTTGGGTCCTAATCCACATCATCACAATTTATAATAAAATCTAATGACGACACAAATTGGATTCACTTTGATCAAGCACCTCGACTGCTTCATCGTTGTCATCATTAATTAGAACAAGTATCGATTAGTTTTTCGCCATAATCAGTCAAGCCGTTTTCTAACAATTTTTTGGAGAGTGTCCTAAGCATCAGTTTCAAGATTTAGTATATCAGCCGATGACGAAGTAACAAGAAGCACCCATGCATCAGTAGGACACTCGAAGAGATCTCGATCATCATCACCATCGTGTCCTAGATCTAACCGCGTCCCGATTTCCATTTCCACAGCAACAATCGTTATTATTATTAACAATTATGCTAAATTTTCGTTTTTTTTCGTCCCGTCGTCCCCCCGTCCCCCCCTGGGGCGATTATCTCCTCGCAAAGGATACGGCCAATATCCTCTGCAACGCCAGCCAACGTCCTACACACCACACAATGACACAATTCGATGCGATAACAAGAGTCACATCGCGAGCGATTTCAATTGTTTATCAGTTTCGACGTTCCTTTTTTAATATAAATAAAAATTATGAAACCGAACCTCCGGGCACGCGCGCTCCTCGGAGAGGATGCCTGGATGATGGATGATGGATGCTGGATGAATCATACATGGGAGATAAAAATTTGATGAATAAAACTACAGACTTTGGGGCGACGAGATTTGAGAAATCAAATTATGTATATCTAAAAGTATTAAATGCACTAGTCGTTGCATCAATCAAACATCAGTTTAGTATTAATTATGATGATGATGATGGTTGTGGTGCTTGGTCAAGGTACATCCAATGGTGGATATTCTATTTAACTAGGTCATTGATTTATACATCAAATTTGATGAATAAAACTACAGACTCTGGGGCGACATTGTTATAAAGATGTACTCGACTGATCATGACTAACTAAACTATGCTCTAACTATCATCGATGATGATCGATGAAGGCAATTTTGGTCCTTGATCGAGATTCGTCCAAATATCCTAATGACCAAAGAGGATGTTGGATATAACAACGTCATTGATTTGTACACCAAATTGTGATGGTGATGCTCAGAAAATCATCAAAAAGAAATCATAGTTGTAAAGAAACAACTCTGCCAATCGATGAAGCAATTGCGATTTCCTAACTTTCCTACTGACCAAGAAGGATATTGTAAATGATGAGGTCATTAGTTTGTTTTGTATTCCAAATTGTGTTGGTGATACTCAGGAAAAATTTGAAATAAACCAAGGATTCTTTATGATCGATAGGATTCTTTATGACTAACTTGTTTTTAACTGTTAATTATGAAAAAGCGACTTATACCAAAAATAAGCAACTACTTTGATATTTTCCAAATAAATTTTGAATCAAATATTAGAATTTCATACTAAAACGTGTATGGCAAAATTCTTTTCACATATACATAGATTTTAAACATTTTATGTCAAACGATTCAGAATGTCTGTAAAACATCAAACTGACAAAAATATGTACAGTAAAGTAGTACTTGGTAAACTACTTAAACAAACTTAAAGGAATAAGCTATTAGATAAATACAATAAAAAATCAACTTTGGTCTCGATTTACTTCCCAATTTTATCACTTTTTTACAAGTTTTGTACCTGACAATTCAGAATGACATAAAACGTCGGATAAACATAAAATTGACAAATCCGATTATTGGAAAACAAAATACATTTAAACAAAATTCCCTCTCATTTTATAAACAAAGCCTTTTGACCTTTTGGTAAAAACAGGTCAAATAAGAGTGGAGTTTAGGGTTAACCATGACAATTTTACATATCCATATCAAATAATCATTTAAAAGATAAGTATAAAATAAAGGTAAGAATGATAACATTCTAGATCCTCCCCCTATGAAATCTATCTATCTATCGATAGTTTCCGTGGGGACCCATATATTTTAGGCGGTTTTGAATCCGACATACCTAGACAAAAGACCTAGCCTGGGGATGCACAAAGGCATTTCCTTTGCTATACAAAAAACATCAAATAATCTTTTTTTTTTTGATAAATAATTTAACTTTATATACTGCTTTTCAAAATCCATAGTCATACAACTCATTTTTCAATATTTTTATAAAATTTACATAAGGCACTTGTAAAGTTTGTCTTCAAGCTAAATTTCTAACTTTTAAATTGAAAGTTTTGCATTTTTAGTTGATATATTTAAAAAATCAACATTTTTTCATCTACTTTATAATTTCGAAGTACAAGTACACAAAATTTTGCTTTTTGACATTAATAACCGAATCAAATTAATAAATTTGTCAATTGTTAAAGAAAAATTAAAAATAACTAATTATCAAAACGACTTCAAATTTAAGTTTATTCGTCCAATATATTTTACAAAATGAGTTGGAAAACAATTTTGAAAATGAGAAAGAAAAAGTTCAGCAATTTTTCTTATAATACCTTATATATCACTAGTTGGTAAATATTTATGCATTGATCAGAAGGAGCCCTAAGGGGGCTCCCTTAATAATTGGAGCGCAAATCGACCGATTCAATAATGAGAATTAATACTTATGCAATTTATTTAACTGGTTTATATAATTGTTTAACAACCAGAACACATAGAAAAACGGGGCTAAATTTCTAATAATTTTAGATCAGATTTGATACAAGAAAAGTGCTCAAGGGGGCTCCCGTACTAATCAAAGTGCAAAGCGACCGACTTAAGAATAAAAATAAAAATTAAGACTCGAGCAGAAGAAGTCGAGTAAATTGAGTCGCGACCTCAAACATCATTACGCATATGATGACGACTTTAATCAAAACGAATCTCAATTTATTAATAATGCAAAATTGCTCCTGTTAAATAGAAAAACAAGCACAACCATTATATTTAACATCGACTACATCTTGCACTATGATTTCTACCATTATTTGTCCAATTAATAAAAAAAATAAAGTTAGTTTAGTAAAAAAATTAACTCAAGATATTTAATTGGATTAGATCTTTTTTGGGCTTTTCTACACGACATCATCGATGGAAAAGAAAATCGACTTGAATAACGTGCGGACAAAAAAAATCAGGGATAAGAAGATGTATACTATATAAATGACAACAAAAACATTTGTAATTATTTTCTATAAATTTTTTGACAAAAATTTTCTAGCAACATTTTTCACCCATATTGGAAAACAATTACCTTTACCAATCTTCAAATATTTACCAATCAACTAGAGAATGCTGTTGAAATTATAATGTATACAGAAGAGAAATTTAAGGGCATTGACAGCAAAAAACTAGACACAGGACAGAAAATCATAGAAACAAAAGTTCGGAAAGTAAAAATTGTAATACAAACGAGGAAGTATAAATACATCTAGTGCATAATATAATTATAGTAATGACTATTATTGCCAATAATAAAAGTAATACTAAAGTTCGAAAATCACATTATATATGTATGTGTATATGTGTGTGTATATATATAATGATATAATTCTAATAATTCGCTTAGTATATACTTCTGAGTATTTACAAAGATAAATTGTATTAGTTATAAACAAAGGATGTCTTCTGTTTATAGTTTATAGTTACATCAGCCATATAAACTCGAATGAATGCGGTCGACTTTTCAGATAAATTTACCACAATGTGATCCATAAGAATTAATATATACATATATATAAATATAAATATACATATATATATATATATATATATATATATATATATAATTTTATTGAGAATATTCAGAAATTTTCCTAAACTTTGTTCACGTTTCGTTCGACATCTCTATCATTCACGTTTACAAGATTTATAAAAATCTAACCAAAAAAAATATTTTAATAATATAATATATAAATATAATATAACCCTAAATTTTGATTATCATTTTATGATGATTTCTCAAAATTATCATAAAATAATTTTCAAAAATCAATGACATATTTTGAAAACAAACAGACAGACGTATGGGACATAAAATTATATCTAAAAATCATTTCTACTTTATTTTTTTACATATGTATTTAATAATTAAATAAAAAAATGGCAAATTTAACATCGATTCAAAATTATTGATTTTAGCAAATATTTTTAATTATAATAGTAATTACTAATAGTATTAATGAATAGTGATATGAAGTTTTTATAGTAAATAAGATAAAAAATAGTGCTTTTAACAATTGCATCATTTCGCTTTCTAAATTTTGTGAGTGTTTTCCATTTTTATGGTGTAATATAATATTATTTTCGATTAAATGAAACTTGATCAAATTTAGTACAAAATAGCTAAAATTATTTTTAATATATTGGTAAACAAATTTTCAAACACAAATTTCAAGGTTTTGCTGAGAATTTTAAGTAAAATCAAAATTGCGCTTTTTTAATTCTGGTTTTCATGATAAAAATCAATGTAAAATTCCGAAGAAACGTGGCAAAAAAAATGATAATTCAGATTTTGATAGAACGGAGAAAAAAGTTCAAAATTTTCAAAAAATTTCAAAGTATAAAAAAACATTGAAATTTTTCAAAAAAGTTTTTTTTTTCAAAAATTTTAAAATTTAAAAACCTTTTTTTTTAATAAAAAAAAAATTGGTACTTAGAAATTCCAACAATTTGCCTTAAGGCATGATGCCATTCCGATGTTCGTCCGAGCCTAACGTCGGAAACTACTGATCTATTTATACAGTAAACAAATATATTTTTATTTATCTATTATCTTCACCGATCTAAACTATTATCATGTACAATGTTCTACTTTAAATATCTGTAGAACATCCTCCTTAAATTGCTCAAACGTTCCGGCTTAGTTTAAACATTATTTAATTAATTAACTTGATTATGATTTATTACTAATCAACAATGTATGTATGTATGTTTGCAAATAAATTTATTAAATTTGCATTGTTTGCAAGTGCAGAAGCAAAAACAAGGTCTTTGCGAAAATCTGAATTCAAGGTTCAGTTCATCACATTTTTGTGTGGGCTACTTCTGCACATTGTCAATTATAATAACACAAACGAGATATATTTATATAAATATACAAACATACAAATATATATATATATATATATATATATATATATATATATGTCTTTATCTCAGTGGCTTCCTGTAACTTTTGATACTAAAAGGATGAAACCGGAACACGTTTTTAACTAAAAAAAATACATGAATGCATATATACTTTCTTATATTTTTTAAGAAACCTAACAATATTTCTATGTTATTAATTGGATAATTAATACATTTGTATTAATTTATAAAACTTTTGTTAAAAAATTTTGACTGAAATGATGTGTGACGTGTTCTGCACGTCT